TTTTATTTTACATCAATGTCAATCTTCTCCTGTTACTCAACATTCTTTAGCCGGACTATTCCGATCCAAATTGATCGAACCTACAATTAAATTCATGCTGGATTTTCTTGGCCAAACAAAATCCTATTTAATGGACAATGGTGAATGGTTATCCCTTTCTTGCTTATGAGTCAAATTTCTATGTTATTTCTCTTGATTACGCTATGTTTCTCGAAAGCTCGACGTCATTGACACCAGTAACAAACTTCGTTATTTCAGCCTATTTGATCTTATCTAAGTTTACTCAATCAAATCTAGGTCGTATTTTAAATTTGCAAGATTAGATGGTCGTGATTGGATTCTCAAGAAACGTTATTGTGGAATACTCTATACTAGTTTTGTAAAATTTTTAAAAAATATACTATTTTGATAAATTACTTTAAATAATGACTTAATTTGATCACAATCTCACTTAGTTAAAATAAAATTACTCAATAGAAATATAACGTTTGAAGTAAAATCTGTCAAAATGGTAAAAGAAATAATGTCAATAACTCATATAAATAATTCAATTTTAACGGATTAAATTAAAGTATCATCTAGAATAATTACTAATTATTGCAAACTTAATGAAGTGAATTTTGAATTTTGAATATAAAAGACAATTTAAATTTTGAAATGTTAAAATATCTTTGCAACGTGAATAAAAATGAACATTAATAATTCAAATTTTAAAAACTTATCGATACTTATATATTCAAAATTCCAAACAAACATACGAAGTTAAGTTTTATAAGTCAAATGTGTGACACACATGTCGTAAGTTTGCATTTACCAGCAATTACTGAACTTCATTTGCAAATATTTAGAAGATATTAACCACTTACAAAATAAAAAAAGGAAATTAAGTTTTTCAGATTATTTTACTTATAAAAATAAATATTTCTTATAAAAAAAATCATAACTATTTTTTTTTTTAAGTGACCTTAGAAATCAATTTTCGTAGATATTCGTAAATTGTAACCTTAGGTGTAGCATGGTTAAATATACAAAAAAGTTGAAAGCAAATTGGTTATTTGTGCTCCTGCGCCATTTTCACCCCAATTACAACTCTCCTGGTGTCTGCTCCGTCTATCAAATTTGTTTTGGTTATATTTCGCCATTTTTGCTATTTTGGTGCTCTACTGAAACTGCTATATCCAAGTTTTGAGCAGGTATATATGTTTTTGAATCAGAAATTAGTTCGTCTGTTTTATACCGAGGAAAGTTGTTTGTGCCCATGTCCTGTTTGTTGAAATTCCTCTTTGAAATCTTTATCTGTCTATGTATGTATCTTCTTTTTGGTGGTGAATTGATTTCATTTATGTCTTTTATCTGCATAAAGTTTGTGAAAATCGAACATTTGAGATAAAATTGGTGAACCCCTTTTCCCATTTCTTTTGTTTCTTTAGTGTAAATGATTTGGAGGTGAGTGTGTTGTTTCTTGCAGGCAGAGGAATATAATGGACTGGGCATTTGTGCATAAAGTATGGGAAAAATCGATTTCGAGCAATGTTGGTTCAGGTCTGTGAATGTAACATTGCTGAAGAAGATTATGTGTTCTCTTTTTACTTTATCATGTATAATTCAGCTGAGATGGGTTCTGCCATTATCAGGTCAACCATTGAAGGCTGCTTTGCTTTTAAATTACGACCCTAATGCCCCTTCTCGACTGATGTCTACAATGTAAGGGAAATTGTTGAAATACCATTTATAGCTCCTACCTTTTCTGTTAATGTATGTCTTGAGGTAGCTAAACTGGTTATTTAGAACAATGCAATTGCTTTTTTCTAGTATAGTGTTTTTTCATAAGCATAATAAGTTCCTAACTTGCGTGACTGTTGATCAAACCCTTTTGCCTCAGTTCAAATACCACTAGTACTTTGATAAAAGTGATCTTTTTGCTTCTTTTATTATAACAAATGGTCTTGCCCGCTTCAGTATAAACAACTTGACTCATCATTCTTGGGCTTTCTTTTTGATCATCTTTCCTTGAGACTTGAGATTTTATTGTAGTTTTAGAAGAGAAGCTGTACAATCATTCTCCTTGTTCTGATCCTGAAAGCCTACACATGGTAAAGATCTTGCTTTAGGGGTATCCACAACTAAATACTGAATAATCAAAATTCAAGTGTCATTTTCTTGTCCTATACTTCAGAGTTGACAATCTTTGGGGGCAGTAAGTACTGGCTTTCTACGGGTCCTTTTCAATTAGTAAAAGATGTACTTATTGAGAGTAAGAAGAACCAGTATCCAAGCTTTGTACATTAACACTGATTGCTTTCTGCAAAAAAATGCTTTTGCAATTTTCGTTAAATCTGGACATATATGAACATCACAAGTGCTCTAAAAATAGGACAAGTACTCTGTATTTGTAGGAAGGTTCTTTCAGCTTTCAACTTTTATAGCTGCACTCAGAAAACAACTGATGATTTAGTCGTGAAGTAACATAAGAAATCTACATAGTTTCCTCTGATATGGGACGAGAAGATCAGATAAGAAGCAAAAAAAGAAAAAGTTCTTTCTAGTGACTTTATAGTAGTGTCACTATGTGCAGAACTGTTTTTTTTTTCCGCTTTGCTCTGTGCTTCTGGAAAATGGTGTAGGTTTAAAAAAGGCTTGTGTTTATGCATGTAGTGCAGAGCAGGAAGGTATAAAGGCAGATCCAACCGAAATGTGTGAACTCATCAGCTTTATCAAGAGAAACAAACTGCAGAAGGAGAGCTTTGTCATTGGACAAAATCAATGTGAGTTTATTCCTGTTTTACAAATAAAAATTAATCATGCTTGAACTTTGGGTTCTGGGAAGGATTTTATCTTTACTTGTCATCTGAACTGTATGCCCATTTGTGGTTTTTCAAAATTCTGAAACTTGGAGCTGGCACTTTGGTCTAAATGTGTAGAGATAGTGATGGGGTGTCTACATTCATGTTCGTACTTTGCCTCTTGCACGTGTGATATTCAGGAGTAAATGCAATATACCTATCTTTTCTTAATAATAGTGCTTGTGCTGGGCTGCATGCTGGGCTGCTTATAGGGTTTGCAGCATTCTCTCTGCACTCAGTCGTAATGCCAAGCAAAACACCAACTGTCACGCGTGGAACTTTTTTATTCTTATTGTTATTGCAGTTCTTTGGAAAGGATTACTAAAATCAGAACTATCTGACTATCTCAAAAAAAGATTAAGAACAGCTGGTTTGTTTTCTTGAAAATAAACAACCCTTAAAGTCTAGCTTTGTCATTTTTGTCGACAGATCTTGTAACATCAATTCTCATTTTTGTCGACAGATCTTGTAACATCAATTCATGAGAGTTGGTTCTGTGCAAGAAGCATGAATACTTCAAAACCTGCTGGTGAAGGTGCTATTCTGATGCAGACTGGGGCATTCTTCTTGATTGGATTGTAAGTATTTCCATACTTAGGTTACAGTAATCCAATCTACTCCCACCATTGCATTAGACCCAAAGTAATGATAATGCATGTATAATCCTGGCCAAATCCTAGTCTGTATACTAGAAGTCACATTGTCTTGGAAACAAAGTGGGAAGAGCTAGTATACCAGGTAGTATTTCCAATATTCATGGGGTAATTCAGCACAACTATCTATGGTGTAGTGACTAATTGAAATGCATTGGAGCATACCATGATTCTTTTGATTTTGATGCGTGAAAGAAGATACTTGTTAATTATTGACAAAGTTTCTGTGTAGGACTTGGTATATCTTAAAGAAATGCATTTATAAATAACAAGAAGATCCTTCAAATTCTTCTTTTGATTGTAAGAGTCTATAAAATTACCTCAGAGCTCTTTGTTGATCATTTATTAAATTCATTCAAGATGTTCCTAAGTTTAAGGTCTTTGGAGAATCAATTTTTTGGTCTTCTCTTACATGTATATTCGGATAGTTGTCCCTCTTTAATCTTTCTCAGTACTTCTAATATTTTATTGGCGCTCTTTTAGTCACATTTTAAAAGAAGCATAAAGTTCACTAAATGCGGTATAAATTCTCACAAAGATACTAGTTTGGTTCCATTGGTTTCTCCATTCTCTCTTGGTTCGCAACTCTCCTTCGAGCTAAGCAATTGTTCACTGTTTTGATCTCGAAAGGCCTACAAAATATGCCCAAATTTCCTATTATCCCGTTCCCTTGTTGTCGGGTTATATCCTTCTTTCTACTTATCAAAAAATAAATAAAAAATCCCTCTTTCGTCATTCATCAGTGGCACTCTGAGGCATTGGTGTTCATTAAGTTGGATGGTAGTTGAAGCTTATTCTTTTCCTTCTATGGTTATGTTTGAATTTAACCGGGCATGTCTGGTTTAGGATTGGATTCGGATGTGTAGGTCTCAGGAAAATTATCCAATCCTAAGGGTATGGGTTCGAGTCACCAAGGAAGCAAAAAAGGTGGGAGTTGATGCACTTCATCTCAACTAGCTAGATGATGACATTTCTCTATTATCCTTTGCTACTCATCGATGATGCTCTTTGGTATAGGAAAGATTTTACGTTGTTTGGATTCTTTAAAACTAAAATAAATTGTGGGGCACATGAACCTCTTGTCTTAACTACATTAGTTTTGAGTCTTTTTTCTATTGAGTTTAAAGCACTTATTAGGTCTAGTTAATGAGGGTCTTATGTGCTCAGGTCCAAAATCAAAGTTTGCTCTTGAAGTCTGTCATGCCCCATTTAAGCTGAAAACTTGCAGCCTGCACAGTTTTGTAGTGACTTGTCTAAACATGCTTACTTGAAATTGGGATTTGACTCATTGGAACCATGAAATTTACTTGATTATACAGGTACGATGGCTCGATTGGTTCAGCATCCCGTGCAATGGTAGTTCTTGATCAGTTTTCATGGCAACTTAATCGAAGAAATCATTGATTGCTTCTTATATATGTCATATTACATAGATCCATGGTCTTTGCATCTCAATGGATAG